GTTTTATTCAGCTAGAATTGCTCATTTTACGACATAATAAATGTTTAAATTACGTTTAAACTACATACTTTGCATCCCATCACCCATGGATCTTCAGGTTATAAATTGCAATGAATGTTATACCTTCACATCTGTTTTTTCGAGCTTCAGTACCGAAAATTTCACATCTTACCAGCTCATATAATTTTCATGAGTACTTTACTTGAATGAGATACTCAAATGACAAGAATAATAAAAGCAAACAATGACAATAATAAACAAACAGAATCAGCGTTGAACTACATCAACTTCAGTTAAAATGCAATCCATCAATAGTTCTTCAAGACTCATGACTGAATATGTTAATTAATATCAGAATGCTACTAATATTTTGTTACAGCAGTCCAGAGATTATCAATCATTGTCCTTGACAATCAGCAATAAGCAAAGCTCTCATAAGTTTTTATCAATAATGTCCAAATAATGTCCAAATAAACTTATAGAGTATTATACAACAACCAGGAACTTTGACATCCCGCCAAAGCTTATAAATCGACAGCTTAAATAATGATTGTGATTTTGAGATAGTCTTAAGGAATAGTATTCTAAAATGTGAGAAATTTTTTTAAAAGAAAAAAATTATAACAGAAGTTAGTTTTGTGCTTCCAAGGTTCTTCCAAAAGCCAACTCAAATATTTGGCTGTAATCATCTACAAAGTGAACCTCAAGCCCCTCCTTCACATGGGCAGCGAGCTCATCAAAATCTCTTCTATTAGCAGAAGGGAATATGAGTGCCTTCACCTCACTTCTCCTTGCAGCAATGGTTTTCTCTTTTACCTATTAAATATGAAATATGGTATATCAGGTTAATAACTAAATGGTAAATTCCAAATTGTCACTACGAAGCCAGATACTTCAAATTTTTAAACTTGTCAAATCATGCATAGGAAATGGACCTAAGTAAGATGTTTGCAAGATATCAAGGGAAACAAGAAGGGCGGAAATGGACCTAAGTAAGATGTTTGCAAGATATCAAGGGAAACAGAAAGGGCTAATTGCAAATACCCCTGTACTATAGGGGTGTAGCTACTTATACCCACAACTAATTAGCAATTACACCTCCCAAAACTCATATGATGCTGCTTTTTCCTCAATTGAGGAGGCCCTTTTTTCAGTTAACCTGAAGGGAAAAGGTAATTTGTAATTTGTCATCGTAATTCCCACATGACATCTCAACCGAATGGGGGAAATAATGTCATATTATGATCAGGGGACATAAGTGCTGGTAAATTAGTTCATGGGGGTATAAGTAGCTATACCCTAATAGTACAGGAAGTGTAGGCATTTGAAACCACCTAAACATTTATTAGCACTTATTCGCCACTTAACACCTTGCAATGCAAAATTCAGACGCCATTTTTTTCCTTCTTTTCTTTTTTTCCTTTTTTCTTTTCTTTTCTTTTTTTTTGCTGGGGGTTGTTTGGAGTTTTTTTTTTCTTTTCTATTCTTTTTGTGTGTGTGTGTGTGGGTGGGGGGTGG